ATTCCCACACCTACACTATTCCATTCTTTCTTTCTTTCTTTCTTTTAATGGTACTGGGGTTTGAATTCGAGACCTCACACTTGCTACTCAGGTGCTCTACCACTTGAGCCACTCTGCCAGCCCCCCATTATTTATTTGCAGCACCACCTCTGGTCTTGAGGTCTGGACTCATATTTTGAAATGCCTGCAGGGCCTATGAGTCTACGATTAGATGTAACAGGGTCCTCAGACTGAACAGTTAGTTCCTAAAGATGATTTTTGTCTCCCACCACTCGACCCTTTTCCCACTGAGCTCCACCACGCGACAACCAGGCGGTCATTCCTGGAGTGCGTCATCGGCTGCCTCAGCCCCTTCATTTGCGACTTGGAAAACTTTGCCCCAGATACCCTGACCACTCATGCTGAGCTCTGTTCAGACAGCACCTTTTCTTTCAGTGTCGGGGATTGAACCCAGGGCCTCGTGCATGCTATGCAAGCACTCTACTATCGAGCTACCTCCCCAGCCCAGCCCAAATATATAGTACCTTGTTAGAGGGGCTTTCCATGACCATCCTCTGTAAAAGCAGCCCCTGTTCATGCCCCTTATTTTAATTTTTTTCACACCACTTATTACCACCTGATGTGATACATGTCTTTATTGTCCATTTCTCCAACCAAAATAAAAGCTCAATAAGTACAGAATCATTTGTCTCATTCCGTCTTATGCTGGGCACATAAATTCGTGTTCAACAGATTTTTAAGTGACTTAATTAACTTACAGCTTTTAAAAAACTTTTTAAGATGGCACTGGGGTTTGAACTCAGGGCCTCATCCTTCCTAGGCAGGCACTCTTACTGCTTGAGCCACTCCATCAGCCCTAACTTACAGTCTTCATCCCCATCCCACACTCCTTTGTGTGTTTTGGTTCTATTAGCAGCATGCTCAGCTATCCAACAAATCACTTACCTCAGAAATCTGGATTTCATAGTTTCTGCTCTTTATCCTAAGTCACTCATGGAAATGTTTGGTAGTAAACCTGGAACTAGGACTGAAGTAAACCTGCCTGCTTCTTTTCCTATTCAGCTCTGCACTGTTCTAGGAGGGCCCTCACATGCATATGTGTGACATGGCAATCTGTAGCTCAAAGCTTTGTCCACCCTCCCCCAAAGCCCTCTGTGTACACAGAGATAGCTTGATCTGCCCTCAAAAAAATGAACATGGCCGGTGGGAAGGAAGGGGTAAGGGAGAGTAATGGAAGTGGTTCAATAGACCAAAGCAAAGTATATTCACAGCAGGGATACACTAGGAAACTCCTTTGAACATCAACTTAGATATTAATAACGAAAGACTGGATTGTAAAATAGGTACAGTGTGGTGTTGGAGTACTTGTGGGAAGGGGAACTGAATGAAGGGGATTAAAGTGAGGGAATATGGTTGATGGACTTCATATATGAAATAGAGCAAAGAAACCTCTTGCAATTGCTTTAAGTGGGGTGGGAAGGGGATCAAGGGTGAGAGATGTTGGAGGTGACTAACCAATGTATAATATAAGCATATTTGGAATTGTTACAATGGATGTCCCCCCCACCCCGTACAACACATATATCCTAATTTTTAAAAAATGAACATGGGGATAAGGCTTGGAAGTAGGCTTTTTGAGCAAAAAAAAATCTAAAGTCCTAGACACTTGGAATTTGTGATCTACAAAGAGTGGGGATGGTGAGCTATGCATGGGCTGGTACCCTTGGCCCTGGGGAAAAATCCAGCTGCAGGAAAGCCAAACCAGGGCCTTCTAAAGAGCTGGGCCAAGGAGGCAGCTCTGTTGCCCTGGTCTAAAGGCAGTACTACCTGGGATAAAGTCAAACTCCAATGAAAGGTAGTGTATCCAAAATAGAGTGAAGTCCAGAAAGCATGATTCTTCCCTTCCCTGCTAAAACACAAGATTAAAGTTTTTGCCTTAAGAGCTACCAATGTAGAGATTTAGAAATGGAAGTATTAGATAAAAATTCTCTCAAAGCTGGGCATAGTGGTATACACCTGTAATCCCAGCACTCAGGAGGTTGAGTTAGGATGATCTTAAGTTAGAAGCCTGGTCTACATAATGAGACCCTGTCTCAAAAAAAAAATCTTCTTAGAACACTGGGTTTGATCAAAAATTTAGAACTCTGGCTCTTTGGAAGGCACTATTTAGCCAAAGACTGGGAGAAATATTTTGCAAATCATATAACTGTTAAAGGACTTGTATCCACAATATGTAAAGAACCCTCAAAACTCAATTAAAAATAACAATGATCTAAAGCTTTCAGTAGATTCATAAAGGAATCTGGGATGTACACCAAATAATAATACCCATTGGATTATGTTCTTGGCTTGGAGAATTCAAAGACTGACCAAACACCAGGCTGAGAGCAGGGAGCTTAGAATCCTCCCCAAGCTCCTTAGAGTTTGCCTTGCCACAGTTTTCAGAGTTGCCATAGAAAGAATCTATTCCTAGTTAACCCTCAAAAGATAGCAATAATCCATCATATTAATACTAATCCTAGAGCCGCTAGGGGTAGATATATCTTTATCCCATCTTTCCCTAGAAGATCTTACATGGGTTACATTGTCTGTGGGAGCCTTCTTCCTTTTGTGTAAGACCCTACTAGATGTGCCAATGGGCAGAACTTCTACAGTTCTTTTGTGAATAGCTATGGTGATGAATCAGAAAGGAATGAAGTATATATACATATTTATTCTCCTTTTATTAATTGAAGAAATACTTGTTGCCTGACAACTCTACCTCAAACATTAGCTAGGGCCTGCAGACACAAGGGTAAGTCATGGTGGTAATCCCAGCACTGAGAAAGAGGCTGAAACAGAAAGATCAGGAGTTTGAGGCCTGCCTGGGCTACATAGCAAAACCAGTCTCAAAAAAAAGACATAGTGACTTCCTCAAGGTTTTCAAAGTTTAATGGAAGTAACAGAAAAGTAAAGCGGTGAGAACAAAACAGAGATAAACCCAGGAAAAACAGAAAAGGGATACTCAATCCAGTCTTGTGGGATCAGGAAAGATTTGTTGGAATCTGACAAATGAGTAGGAGCTGGTCAGGAGAGTGAACCGAGTTGCAGCTGGAGTATAAGTGGTAGGAAAGTGAGGAGAACTGGAGGTGGGAGCAGATCATGGATGACCTCTTACATAAGAGGAGCATCAGTAAGGCAAGCAATGGGAAGCATGGGAGGACTTTATTGTTTTATTTTTATTTACATATTTCTGGTGCTGGGGACCTGAACCCAGAGCCTCACGATTGCTTGGCAAGTGCTTTGCCAATGAACCACACTCCAGCTTACTTGTAATTTTGTTTTTGCGGTGCTGGGGATCGAACTTAGGGCCTTGAGAGGGTTTTACACAGATGAGTGGCAGGAAGGGACTTGTAGATCATTAGAGCTACAGCAAAGGAGAAGAGACTGAAGGGGATCAAGACAGAGGAGACTCATTGAAAAGTTGTTTCAGTAAGCAAATGTGTTCTTTGCAACTCAATGAGGTAGATATAATAGACGTAACTGTCCACACATGGATGAGAAATCTAAGAACAGAGGAAGTCAAGTGAGTGTCCATAGTCATGTGATTAGTAGTTGCAGTGAAGAAAGGGAGGCAGACAGGTTGGTGAAGCATTTAGGAGTTGGTGTGGACAAGACTGGATGACTGATTATGCAACTGATATTCATTACTGATTTGGAGAGGGAGGCTAAAAGGAGCAGGAGTTAAGGACCATCCGGACATTTCTAGCTTGGATACCTAACTCAGTCGAGTTAAGAAATACAGGAGAAGCTGGTGGAAGTAGTGGGTGACAGGGGCAAGTTGGGTGTGGGGTTGGATTTTAAGGTGTCTTGATAATTCCCATCTGGAGCAGTCCAGAAGGCAGATGCCGGGGGTAGGGTGAAGTTCAAAGAGAGATGTGTCTTCTGTCTCAATCTTAGCCAGAAGGGAAAAAAAAAAAAAAATCAAGCAAAACTACCTTCAAAGGAGCTGAAAAATGTTGTGAACTCCTCCTCTTCCCTCTTCTTCTTTTTGTGTGTGTGTGTGTGTGTGTGTGTGTGTATGCTGGGGTTTTTGAGATAGGGTCTCTTGAACCATTTGCCCAAACTAGCTTCAAGCTGTGATCCTCCTGATCTCTACCTCCTGAGTACCTAGGATTACAGGCATGAGCCATGGGCACTTGGCTTTTCTTCTTTTTTTGATGCAATTTTTTGTGGTACTGGGGTTTTGAACTCAGGGCCTCATCCTTGCTAGGCAGGCGCTCTACCACTTGAGCCATCCCGCCAGTCCTTTTTAGTGTTGGGTATTTTTCGAGATAGGGTTTTGCAAACTATTTGTCTAGGGTGGGCTCAAACTGGGATCCTCCTGATCTTTGCCTCCTAAGTAGTTTAGGATTACAGATGTGAGCCACAGGTGCCCCACTTAGCTTTTCCTATCTTGAAGCCTTCTGTAGATAAAGCGGGGCCTATCTGTTATCTGTGGTAGAACTGGGTATCTAACAAATGCTTCCCCTGCCTATCTCTCTCCTCTGGAACAATACTAACCTTTAAAACACTAGGGAACCACTAGGGAACCACTTAGCAAATTAGAATTTCAAGGCACTCCCTGGGGTCCTAACAGCCTGGAAACACAGTCCAAACCTACCTCTGCCACTCTCCTCCTAGAGGATGGTTGACACAGAAGGTGCAATATTAACATATCAAATGTCTTTCTTTAAAGGGAGTTTTTTTTTTTTTTTTTGGTGGTATAGGGAGTTGAACTCAGGGCCTCTAGCTTGCTAAGGAGGTGCTCTACCACTTGAGCCACTCCACCAGCCCTTTTTGTGTTGATTTTTTTTATTCATTTATTCATATGTGCATACATTGTTTGGGTTATTTCTCCCCCATACCCCGCCCCCATCCCCTCCCTCTCCTTCCCCACCGCCCTCTCCTCCCCCAGCCCCCCTCGCTTTCAGGCAGAATCTGTTCTGCCTTTATCTCTTAATTTTGTTGAAGAGCAAGTATAAGCAATAATAAGAAAGACAAAATGTTTTTGCTAGTTGACATAAGGATAGCTATATGTGTTGATTATTTTTGAGACAGGGTTTCACTTTATGCCCTGGCCATCAGGATTGCAATCCACATACTTATTCGTGCTTCCCCTCATAGCTGGGATGAAAGGTTTTTGCCACCTCACCCAACCATTGGTTGAGATGAAGTTGTACAAACTTTTTGCCAGGGATGGCCTTGAACCTTGATCTTCTGATCTCTGCCTCCCACCCAAGTAGCTGGGATAATAGACCTAGGCCACCATGCCCAGCAAGAGGAAGCTCTTGAGGTAAATTAGCATTTTCCTTCCTAGCCATCAGATATGCTGAACATGTATAAATTGTTTTAGTGCTGAGGACTGAACTCAGGGCCTCACGTATGCTAAGTTAGTACACTCTACCACTGGGCACCACTCCCAGCCCCCTCCTTAAAAAAAAAAAATAGAGACGGTATTGCTGTGTTGCCTAGGCTGGCCTTGAACTCTTGGGTTCAAGTGATTCACCAGCTGCAACCTCCCAAGTAGCTGAGACTACAGGCTCACGTGGCCACACCCAGCATAAAAATACAGTTTTAATTTTTTTTTGATAAAAATCTCTTTTCTAAGTCTTTGCTGTAGGGTTACTTTTTTCTTTCATATTTTTACTTTTCCCAATACATAGATATATAGCACTTTTACCCCCTACCACTGCCTGGGTTGTTCCTTCATTAAAAAAAAAAAAAAAGATTTCCTAAGAGAAAATTACTTGCAAGTAATTTGAAAGTTGTGCCCACACCCTGGCTGCACATAATCACTGCCTTAGACAGACTGTGCTTCTCTGCCATGAGTCCAGAGCCTTCAGCTATTTCTAGGGGCCATCTTAGTTTTGAGAGCCCTACCCTAGCTCAGTAGAAATTGTTTAAATATTCTTTTTTTTTTTTTTGGTGGTACTTGAGTTTGAACTCAGGGCCTCATGCTTGCTAGGCAGGCACTCTACCACTTGAGCCGCTTTACCAGCCCTGTTTTAGTATTCTTAATGGATACCCAAAAATATCTCCTTAAAGCAATAAGGACCTCGCATTTTTCCTTTCGGATGTTTTATTTTCTTTTACCTCCAAAACTACTGAGTCACCCACACCAAATATTTCCATGTTACTTTTGCCACTAGCATAACCTTCCTAGGAAACTGCTCAGTTTTTTGCACTTTCACAAGATAATGGCAATCTCCAGAGGGCTCAAGACTCTGTACTTCCCAATTCCCACAAGAACATCTGCAAAATATCTGTACATCTGTACAAAGAGCATCAATATAAAGATGATTGTGCCCACATCTGACAGAAAGCCCTATATGAACCAGTGCTGGATTACTAAAATAATTCTCAGCTATATTGATTTTAAAATTATATCTTTAATTATAGAATATAGTTAGGATAATACAGATGTAGACAGATACTAGGATAACTGACCAACATCATACGGAAAACTGCTCTAGAGACTTACTTGTTCATCCACTCTCCACAACCATAGGAAACAAGCACAGAGTGCTGGACGTGTGCAGAAGCAGCTGGGGACTTGAGAGCAGAAGGCATGCAAAAAGCATTAGTGAACAGTGTCTGATGTGTGACTTCTACACAGAGTTCAGCACAGCAAATGAGCAGTCGCTAGCAGAAAGAGAGGAGACAGAGCTGGTGTGCCCCTTGCCTTTTAACTTCCCAGCTGGAGTGTACATGTATGGAGAGACAGCAGGCACTCGGAGCCCCTTGTTGAGCCCTTGATCTCTAAGAAGCTAAAAGCAGCAACAGAAACACCAGCATGCCTTCAAAGGAAGAGCAGGGGAGAAAAACAGGGTGAAAAACAGGTCACAGAGATGCTGTCTTCCATGGCCACTACAAGCTGTCACTTATAGTGGCTCAAAGAAGCAACGGAACATTGAAATTCATTAAAACTGTCAGCAACACTGATATAGGAGAAGACATATTTGAGTTTAGCTACCAAGAACATGTAAGTCGCCCAACAATTAAAATATGAATACCCTAGATTTTGTATAGAACAAAAAAACATACTTCCTGCCCCAAGTTTGTAAATAGGGTGGCAATGGAAAGAAACCCCCTTGGAGTGGTTTCTCATTCTGTTGAGGTTGTGTCATTTGCAAGTGATGCAGTCCCACTCAGCTGTGGGTCACAATAACTCACTATAATGAAACCACTGCTCCTTGAACACTAAATCACAAAGAGCTATGGCAAAAACATTTTTAAAAGTTACAACATTCACAAGAAAACACAGTTGAAATACACTGGGGCACTTCCAAAAGACGATATATTCCTTACTCCAGTCCCAGCTCCAGGGCACCAATTTTCTCTCATGCCCACAGGCTTGGATAAAAATCAACATTTGGGATATTTCTTAATTCTTTCTTGGGCTGAGATCAGGAGAACCAATACCACTGGGCTAAATTGGTTCAGCTCTTACTTTTACCACTTTGATGTGTAGCCTGGGAGGATGGAAGTACATTCCTACCTAGGTTTGTTAATTCCTTCTGATTAGAACAGAGTTCTTCACTGCCATAGTTGAAATCATTCCAGAAATCATTCCACGTGAGAACAGGACAATCCGCTTATTCTCTCTCACAGTTGATGGACACATACAAACAAGTGCTAAATTCTGTACAAAGACAAGCCTTACAGGAGAGTGCACACTCAAGCACTAGTGTTTAAATAGTTTTTCCATAATAAATGAAAAAAAAAGGATATTTCTCACTTGGAGTTATATCTGTAGTTCTGTCACGTGATCCACACCACCCAAGAACATGCTAATTCTTGTGAATTCAGTTTCTGCTATTAAAAAAAACAAAGAAACACACATTTCACTGTACATACACATGCCCTTATATAAGCTAAGATAAACACTGGGATGTGGCCCTATCAAATCCTAGATTCAGCAGTACAGGGAGAACTGATCTTAGAGGTTCGAAGGGAGAGAACACAGAAATGACCTACTTTCCTTGGGAAGGGACTCTGTGCTCCCTTCCTGCTTCTTTCAGTCCACCATCATTTAGGGTCCTATCTTTCCTTGAAGATATTGTCCCTGCAATGTTTCCTACGGGGATTCTCAAAGAAAATTCATAAACCTGATTAGTGGCAATATCAAAAGTGGGCATCTTTTGTTAAAGTCACCACCATCAATAGGTACTTGGTCCTCAAGCCTGTGTCTCATTTTTCCTTTCACCCTGTATCTTCAGTTAGCTTTCACAAAGATGCAAGCTTTACACAAGTTAATTAGAAACAGTAAGGAGAAAAGTTATGATCATTGCCTTCATCATGCAGAATCCTGCTCTAAAGAAGACAGAAAGATACAAATGTGTGAGCAACTCATGAAAAAGCCCTTTAGAGGGGAAATGTGTGTGCCCCATGACTAGTGTTTGAATAGGTGTGGCAATCCAGGCCAAGTCTGCTTGCCTTTTGCCAAAGCAGCTGTGACCACCCTATTACAGCCCCACATTTCTCCTTAACAGAGTTTTTTGGGCCAAAGATGGAAGAAAAAACCTTTTAAAGATTTACTCCATCTCCAGGCATTCACCAGCATTTGGCATCTGGTCTTCAGGTTTCTAGCTATTTGAGGAGCTGATTTTGATAAAGTAACCCATTATATTGAGTGAGTAAAAATCACTATTTTAGAAGAGAGGATAATGTTCCTAAAGCTGGAGGTCAGAATTTCAAAGGGGCTGTCTTCTTTCATGTTTTAAATTGTGGCCCACAACTAGGAAAGTCAATAGGTAAAAGAAGTTCTGCCTTAAGGGAGTTCGCTAATACCAAACACAGCTGTATCTTCAAAGGAATCATTTCTCAGTACTAATACAGAACTTAGTCAGTATGAACTCTCTTGTGTTTAATAAGAGCTGAGCTCCGGCTGAAACTCTTCTCACACTCGGTACATTCATAAGGCTTCTCTCCTGTGTGAACTCTTTGATGTGTGATGAGGTTGGAGCTCTGGGTAAATCCTTTCCCACACTGCACACACTCGTACGGCTTCTCTCCTGTATGGGTTCTCTGGTGCTTAATTAGATCTGACCTTTCACCAAAGCTTCGCCAACACTCGTTACACTCGTAGGGCTTCTCCCCAGTGTGAATTTTCTGGTGTGTGATGAGATGAGAGCTCCGGCTGAAGCTTTTCCCACAAGCATTGCATTCATATGGCTTCTCTCCAGTGTGGGTCCTCTGGTGCTGAACCAAGTGTGAGATGCGGCTAAAGTTCTCCCCACATTCATTACAGTGATATGGCTTTTCCCCTGTGTGGGCCCTGCGGTGCCTGACAAGGTCAGAGTTCTGACTGAAATTCTTTCCACACTCATCACACTTGTAGGGCCTCTCACCTGTGTGAACTCGATAGTGTTTGATGAGATCAGATCTCTCACTGAAGCCTCGTCCACACTCATTACACTCATATGGCTTCTCACCTGTGTGGGTCCTCTGGTGCTGGGCCAGGTGAGAGCTCCGGCTGAAGCTTTTCCCACACTCCTCACACTCATATGGTTTCTCCCCGCTGTGAGTCCTTTGGTGCTGGATGAGGTGAGACAGCCGGCAGAAACTTTTCCCACATTCGTTACATTTGTGAGGCTTCTCACCAGTGTGGATTGTCTGATGCTGAATGAGGTGAGAGCTCCTTCCAAAACTTTTCCCACACTCATTGCAGTCATATGGCCTCTCCCCAGTGTGTGTTCTCTGATGCTGAATTAGGTGGGAGCTACGACTGAAGCCCTTTCCACATTCATAACACTTATAGGGTCTGTCTCCTGTGTGGGTTTTCTGGTGTCGATTAAGGTCTGAGATCTGACTGAAGGCCTTCCCACAATGAGAACATATGTGATATCGGATACCTGTGTGAACTTCTTTGTGGACGAGCAGATCAGTCACTTGTTGGAGAGGATAGCTTACCCACTCTTCTGCTGTCAAATCTCCCCACTGTCTTTCTGACCTGTCCCCACTTTCAAAGGCTTCTTCACCTTCAGGATTTTCCTCACCATTCCCAACAGGTCTTTCAGATGTGGTCCCAAATTCTACGTCTTCACTAATCTCTTGCTTTGGATTCACTTCATTCTCACTCCTTATCTCAAAATCTGTAATAAAGGGTAAATAATGAGAGTGATGAATGCACATATTATCTACTGTGTGCCAGACACTATGCTAAGTTTTTGTTTGTTTTGTGGTGCTGAGGATCAAACCCAGGGCCTTGCACACATGAGCAAATGCTTTACCACTGAGCTATATCCTCAGCCTTGACACCAAGTTGTTGTTTTTTTTTTTTCTGGTGGTACTGGGGTTTTAAACTCAGAGCTTCATTCTTGTAAAGCAGGTGGTACTCCAGTTCATTTTGCTCTGGTTATTTTTGGAAATGGGGTCTCCCAAACTATTTGCCTGGCCTGGCTTCAAACTGCAATCCTCCTGATCTAGCCTCCCCAAGCAGTTAGGATTATGGGCATGAGTCACCAGCGCCTAACCCAACACTAAGTTTTTTATATGAATTATTTCATCCACGATCACAGCCATCTTGAGGCAGGCGTTATGATGATATTTACTTAGGAACAAGAAGTCCACCAGACAAGTGAAGTGACCTGCCCAAGGTCACAGCAGTAAATGATAGAACCATCAAACTCAAGTTGACTGCTGAAAAGCTCAAGCTCTGTATTACTACAGTTAACAGTTTTTTTCAATGAAAACTATATATTCCTGGTGTTTTGAAAGAAAAAAAAAAGAATTAGAAATGGAAAACTAGAAAAGACCTTAAATTAGAATTTCTAAAGGTCAAGGGCCTAGAAATTTTATGTGTGTATATTTTTTTTAAATTGGTCAAGCCTTCATAGTTACCACCATATAATATTTACTAAGAACATACCAGGCTGGTATGGAGAAAATGAAGTTTTCATCATGTCTTAGTTGATAGAGAGGTCATTGTTGACTGTCACTTACTATAGTTTCCAGTGGACTTGTAATGGACACAGGTGAGGGAAAGTTAGAGAAGGCAAAAATGGTATTTGACTTGAATGTGAATTTTCTTTTTTTGTGTGTGTGCTTGGGAATGAACTGAGGGCCTCATGCACGCTAACCATGCACTCTATCACTGAGCCACACCTCAGCCCTGGCTAAGACCATTTTTGACACTGCACTAAGTATACTGCATATATAGCTTTCAAATTAAAATCAATATATACAACCATTATCTCCAAAGAACTTTTTACCGCACATTGCATTTTTCAACTGGGTTTCTTAGCATCTTCTCCAGAAAGAGAAGTAGGTGTGTTTGGAGAAAAGGGCTCATAGATACATTAGTCTGGTAAGTGCTACCTATGATAGCCTCTCATTAGAAACCCACAGGGCCACTGGGCATGGTGGCTCAGGCCTGTAAAACCACCTACTTGAGAGGCAGAGATTGGGAAGATTGTTGTTCGAGGTCAGCCCAGGCAAAAAAGTTATTAGCAAGACCCCATCTTGACCAATGAAGATAGAAGTGGTGGTACACACCTGTCATCCAAGTTATGTGAGAAGTGTAAATAGAAGGATCATGGTTCAAGCAAGCCTGGCAAAAACATGACACCCTATTCAAAGAATAACAAAAGCAAAAGGGGCTAGGGGGCATGGCTCAAATGGTAGAACATCTGCCTAGTGAGCATGAGGCCTGAGTTCAAACCCCAGTACCCCCCAAAATTAATAATAATAGTAAATCCACAATGCTTCACACAAAGGTTGCAAGGAGTGCTGAGGTAAAGAAAACTTGCAAACATTCTTAATCCCTTCCCAAACTTATGTGGGCAAGAGAGCAGCTTTTTGATACTTCTATCCCTTTAACAATTGCTCCTTGGGCTAGACAACAGAAATGCAAATTAGTACTTTTTTTTTTAAGAATTCTCATTGTTTTTGTTGAATTGAGTGATACATTTAGATTACAGACCATAATAGATCAGAGTAGATGACAGTACTTATAACTGCTTTCCTAAAGGAAGGATCTAAGAAAGTTGAGACATCAGAAAAAAATCTTAAGTTCAGAAGGAAACCTCTCAAGTCACCTTGGAAAGAGCTATGGGGATCAGTCCATGAACCATACACACTTGCTTACTTCTGTCAAGTCCTAACAGGAGACAAAGTGAGTCAAAAGACTATTCAACTCAAGAATACATTATTTATTATAGTTATACCCAGACCAAAGAATAGCTAGGAAAGAAGACAAGTCTACAGACCATGAAAAAAAAAAAAAAATGAGTTGCCCTCTCTAGAATTTGTGATCTCACTTCTTCAGGATCCTTCTGGAACAACATTCAACACACTTGCAATCTATGATCAACTCTGAAACAGCTCTCAACAAGAACCCACTCAGATAAAGAACTTGAGGCAAGGATGGAGCTCTGGAGCCAAAACAAACACAAAAGGGTAGCTTCTGCCCTCCCATGACCCTAGGTCAGAACCCCTCATCTTCTAGTGCCCTAGAGAAAAAGTACCATTTATAGGGCATTTATATCTTGGCAAGCACCAGTATGTCAGACCTGTTTGGTCAGTGATCTGTACAAACAGGCTGGAGAATGGCAAATGACTCAGAGCACGAGAAACCCGAATGTTTCCAAAATGTGCAGAAATATTTTTTTTTTTTAGACAATATGACCTGGATGGTACCACATTCACAGATTTGCCTGAGCATGCAACACAAGCCAATATCCAATTAAGTGCTTTAAAAATTAAACAACTAGGCTGTGTTGAAAGAGTCCAAGCCATTCTGACACAATTTCAAAAACGCAGGGATAAAGACTCCTTACTTACCCAGTGAGACAACATTTCCATAATTCTCCTGCATAACATCCCTGTAAAGGTCCCTTTGTGTAGGATCCAGAGGTCTCCATTCTTCCCGGGTGAGGTACATGGCCATATCTTCAAATGTCACAGGTGCCTGAAATCACACAATGCTTCTTCACTACTTGGTATCTAGGAGGTTAGTACCAGTTTTTCTTCTTGAAATTAGAGACATGGTTAGAAATGTTGAGGAGGCAAAGGCATTAAGTCTGATCTGTAGAGTCCAAAGAAGAAATAAACAAGTAAAAAAAAAAGACGTGATAAAAAAAGAAGTGAAAGAGTGGAGGGAGCAATTTATGAGCTTACTGCCTGGGCTCATGGCCAGGTATCCCTACCCCACTCGGGGAACTGCATGCTCTAGCCATGCCTTTTTCTGAACACATCTAACATTGTTCATACCTTTACACAAAAATGTTCCTTTTTTCTTGGAATATTTTTCTCAGACTAGTGAAATTCTACTATTCTTTATGGGTCGGCTCGAATGCCAACTGTTTGGTGCCCCCCACCTCTCTGCTCCGCTCCACTCCTCCTTCTGATGTCCCAGATAGAATTAATCACTCCCACTTCTTAGTTCCCACCCCACAGCATTTGCTGTGGTTGCTAAGGCAGATAGAGCACTTATCACGTTGTAGCTCAGCTAACCGGATGCATCTTTCTCCCTACAGACTGTGAAAAGGCGGGTACCGTCCGACTTGTCCATCTTTTTTCTCCCCACTATTTAAAGGCATACAGCAGGTGTTCCATAGATGCTTGTCTGTGGTTATGCTGCCTGGTACTAAGCCCTTGGAAATCGAAGCAAGAGCATTTCCCAAAGGGGTTTGCAGAGTGGAGAAATGCCAAGCGAGGTGGGGAAGCAGAGGCAAGGTCCGAGAAGCCACCCCCGGCTTACCTGGGACCCAGCCATGAGCAGGGTGGCTGCCATCTCGGGCGCAAGGCTTCGCCTCCCAGGTGAGAGCAGGAGAAGCAGCTAGAAGACAGCGCTGAAGGAGGCGAAAAGCAGGGCGTGAGGCACGGAGAACAGGCCCTGCCCACTCCCCAAGGCTGGAGTTCTGGCCGCAAGGCGGGCGGGGAGGGCCCTGGACTGGGGCTGGGTCACTCTCCTCCCTGGCCCCCAAGCGTGACCCGCCTTCTGTGTCTCCGACACCACGGGGCGGAGGCAAAGCCAGAATCCTCTAGGACAGCCCCCTGGCTGGGTCTCTCCAGGACCCGGGGTCAGGCAGACGCTGTCTCAGGGAGGTGGCTCTCAGTCCAGCCCACAGAACGCCTCTGCTCTTCCATCTCGGGGTTGGGGCCTTTCCGGCAGCTGCTTCAGCCAATCAACGAAGGAAGCCACAAAACACTCTACCAATCAGATGCCGCAAACTTGGCCCGCCTCCTACAGAGTGTCTTAGCACCTCTATCACGCCTGCGCCCGCCCCGCGGCCAGCCGGGAGTTGGAGTTCCACTCTAGCGTACAAAGGCCAGCCTGAGGCCAAGAGCCGAGGAGGGAAAAGAACAAAAGGGTGGAGAAGGAAGCGTGTCCTCCAAGCCAGGGCGGAGTAGCTCCCGCTTTCTTCGCTAGGAGATAGACCACAGCCCGATTAAGCTAGAGAGGTTGCCCTGCTTTTCCTCACATCCCTAGAACCTTCTTTTGAGTCAGATCTTATGCGCGATGTTCAACTTTAGTGTTAGCCCGTGCTGAGCTCCGCTCGGATTAGTGTTCATTTGACAGCCCAAGCTAGAGAGGAAAACTGCAGCCACCCACTCTCCAAGGGGAAGACTCGGAGGCCGCACTGGAACTTTGGGCCCCGCCCACGCACTACACCTCCCAGCAGTGCCTGCGGCACCAGCTGCCGGCCCCGGACTACAACTCCCAAAAGGTTTTGTACCTCCCTCCCAGCGTATGAGTACCGTCCGCCGCCCGGCCCAAGGTGTACGGGTTCAGTCTCGGTTAACCCTGTAAGGGCGTCGGACTGCGTCCTTGTAAAGAGAGCGCCCCGGGAGAGGGCTGAGTTGCGCCCGTCCGAAAAGCGAAAACCCTGAGGGAAATTAGAAGTGGGAGAGGGTGGAAGGTGTGTAAAGAGATAGGCCCCAGGGTGGAGACGGGCAGTCCGTAGCATCCCTGAGCTCCCGTCTGCAGAAAAGGGCTCCTGGGGGCCTCCTGCACCGTCGGGACCCTGGACCTCTGCGGGCCTAAGCCTGGCGAGTCCTGGGGATGTTAGTAGTCCCTGTCTGGCTGGAGGTAGGAAGCCGAAAACTCGAATTAGGGACGAACAGACTTACCTCCTGGCCTGCAAAAAATATCTAGATCACCGCCTCTAAGATCCCAGCGATCTCAGACCGCGAAGCAGCAGATAGAACTGTCAGACCGCTGGCGTTCCGAAAGATGGTAGAGATCACCAGTACATCCCGGGGATCTCAGACCCGCAGGGCAATCTCGACTCAGTGGGCTTGCAGGCAAAACCGAGATCGTAGGCTGATCCCAGACACTCAGATTCCAGAGACCTCAGACTTGCCGGCAGTTCGGAGAAACCACAGGCTCGTGGACAGATCCCGGAGGCCACAGCCGCTAAGCTGCATTCAGCAGGAATGGCAGGACTTACAGCCTTCGCCTTCCCCAGCCAGGCTGGGAGAGTTAGACAATGGAAGTCCCAGGCAGAGCAAGCATTCTGCGTGGGGAAGAGCTCCCAGCTCGCTGTAGCCTTGGAGAGGGAAGTGATGGAAAAAGAATATAGCTTATTAGGGACTCCCACCCTCTTCAAGTTATAAATATCCCCAGAACCTTGGCTATGTGCCCGGAAGCCTGTTGTCTCTAGCTGTACAGGAGACTTCTCTGCCTGGGCTGAGAAAAGGGGCTTTTCTTTTGTTTTGCAGAGACATCCACCCACAGAAAGTCTTGATTTTTTTTCCCTCCAAACATGACTCCCGGCCATGCTTTTATTAGTGAGTGTTCTGTTCCTAGTGCCCAGCTATTTATGGTTAAATTATTAAAGTGGCTAAAAAGAACTAGTAGGACCCTACCCAGCCATAACATAGCTCCTCCCACCCCTTTTCTCTTCCCACACCCAGAGGTGGGGCTAGAAATTCTTTAGGTGACATCTGACCTCATCTAAAATTGATCTGGGCACCACATAAGATAGAATTTTGCAGGGTCCCCAAGAGGGAGTCTCCCAGCGGAAGGAGTTGGTTATCAAGGTCAGGCAGACCTTGGTTGAAATCCAGACTCTGTATCCTTCAGAAAGTCATTTAATCGCTCCTGGCCCATTTCCTTCTCCATAAAACTGGCACTGTCATACCTCAGGATGTTAGGACTATGTGAGACTTCAAGCACTCCATGGAGAGTAAGTACTCAAGTGACAGTTGTTGAGTCTTGCCTTTGGAAGCAGGGGACACTTCAGAAAGGCCCATGAGTATATTCAATGGCCCTGGAGATCAGAGTGGCTCAGTCACTACAAGGATCTGGTGTTGACCTTCCCCTCACATTGTATTTCTGCTGGAGACAGAACTGGAAGTTCAGCCAGTTTGGTGGGTTCAAGTGAACACTGTGTTGAGCCCAGTAGAGCAGAGGTATTTGGGGCTGCCAGCTGCCACCAGAGAGCAGCAAGTTGAGGCCTCATACCCAGGGAAACCTCTGGGTCAGAGGACAATAACCAAACCAAGAAGCAAGGAGGAGGGGGGTTGGTGAAGACTGGCCGAGTAGTTGCAGTTTTCTGACTGGGCCTAAGGTGAGACAAGGGCCCATTCCCTCAGCCCAGGGGCTCCTTTTTCAAGCTTTTCCTAGCAGATTACTTTGAAAACTTTTCTTAGATCTTCCCCCTTGCTCCAGTGCTTTAAGTTCTTGTTTGTCTGCTCCAGGCACCTTTCACTCCTCATCCCACCACAGGGCAGGATGACTGGAGCCAGCTTGGCTGCTGGCCTCCTTGTGAGTAAGTGTGCTTTCTTCTCTCTTCACCTGGGGTCCTCGGGAGGGTGGAGAAGAGAGGCCATGAGCCATGAAAAGCTGACTGCACTTGGGATCCCTGGTGGAGTGGGGAGAAGGGGAGGAAAGACAGTGGCTAAAGGGCTTCCTGTCCAGCTGTCAGCTGGACTCCTAGGGTTGGGGTCACTGGGGGAGGTGGTGGCTTCCTGCCCCATTGTTCAGGGCTTCAGCATTTCTCAAGAACACTTACTGTATGTAGTTTTGTAATAACAACTCAGAAAGCCCTATCAGCAAATGATGAGCACCTACTGTGTGCAGAGGCAGCTGTATAGTCTGTCAGTGGGGAAAGGGGTCAGGAAAGCCATTTGCCAGGATGTCTAATTCAGGCTTCTGACTTTATCTACATTATGTCAGATCCACCAGACAATTTGATCTAAGAGTCTCATATATCCTTAAACTTGTGCCCTACGGCCAGACCACTACGCCTGTGGAGCACTGTAGATTATTGTATTTTCATAAATCTTATCACTATCTTGGGAGCAGTCCAATTGGGTTGTAACTTTTTGGTCTGCGAAGCATTCATTTGCTAAACATTAAAAAATATGCCTCCACATTTGTAATCCTGCTTTGTCATCTTCCAGTTTCAAATGAAGTGACCTGGGCTTCCCTTGACCCTTCCAGGAGCTGTGATGAGTTGAGGTCATGGGGGACACACTGACTTGCAGTGCCAAGTGGAGGGTGAGCTAGTTTGTACCCAGGAGGGAGCGGACTCCTAGCTGGGGGGAAGGAGGTGGCTTCCCAGAGGAGGTGACATCTGAGCAGACTTGCAAAGCCTGGAGGTGTTTTGGAAGTGGAGAAGGTGGGAAACAAAGCATTCCAGTGTCCAAGAACAGCATGTGCGAAGGCACAGAGGCATGAAAGGACAGAGCTTGTTCCAAGATGGCCAGGATTGGTTGTGTCTGGAGGGAAGAGGATGCTGGGAGGCGGCATGAGGAGGGAGCAAAGCAGGGACAGTGTCTCACATCCCTGGCTTGCCTGCCTGTGTGTCTCTGCCTTTGGCAGTGGATGAGTAAAGCTGACATGAGACTCAGATGCAAGGTGGCCCGAGGGCTGGCCTGGGGTGAGCACAGCAGATGGGCTCTGCAGGAGGAGGGCAGAGGACAGAGGACTGGGAAGGCTTACCTCATGCTACTCTGCTGATTTTCTCCAAAGAGAATATGTTCAAAAATTGTAGACAGTCACATTAAAAATGTACCACAAACTTACTTAGTATTGGCTAACCTATTTAAAGACATCATATGGGTCCATATTATTGAGCCCTACCATACAGCAAACACTAAGCTGGGAAATCAGTCACCACCCCTCACCCTGACTGTAGAGATGTTGTGAGGATTAAAAGTGGCAGTGACACAGAGGAAGGCCTTGGCACATGGTGGCCATTGTTATTATAGGGGAGGTAAAACATGTCACAGATGCTCTGTGAAGTGAAGCCATATTTCAAAGTGGCTCAGAGCAAGACTGGGACCTTAGTTAAAATCCAGCCTCTGTCTTCCCAGGAATGTATCACTCTCTGAACCCTGGGTTCCTCAGTCTGTAAAAACTATATATACCAACTCATACAGGCATAAAGTAGAACAGTGGTTGCTGGGAGTGGGGGGAAGGGGAAACTAGGAACTGCTTAATAGAGGTTCAGTTTTGCAAGTTTGAAAGCTTTTGGGAGATTGGTTGCACAGTAATGTAGAGGTACTTAAGTCTTCTGAACTGTACACTTAAAATGGTTAAGACGGTTTATTGTGTCTATTTTACTACAATTTTATTTTTTGAGATGGGGTCTTGCTATGTTGCTCCTGGGACCAAATGATCCTTCTGCCTCAGCCTCCTGCATAGCTGGGACTACATCCATGCACCGCCATACCCAGCTACTACAATTTTTAAAAGAATCTAAGAGATTTAGCTCAAGGGCCACAGGGCTATTTGAGATTATCACCGTAAATCCTCGCAGGAGTAATTACCAATCAATCTGTGTGTGAGGCAAGATTCTCATTCTTTCCTTATATGAACTTAATACAACAGCCCTTTCAGTTAGGAGTCAGTATTACCACTGTTTTAGATTAAAAAAACAAAAGCATGGATAAATTACATAGTATGCCCCGAATACCCACCTAATAAATGCTCAATGATGAGCAGATATAAAGAAATATTAACGGAATCCCCATCATGAGGGTACAATGCAATGGGAGGGTGAGCTAGAATCATGGGAGACAGAGGTGTGCGGATTGGAGACTTGATGGCAGATGTGCATCTGAGATGAGCCTTGAAGAATGGGTGAGATCTGAGTAGGTGGAGAAAGCAGAGCAGACAGCCATAGGTGGGAAGGTCATCCTGCATGCAAGAACAGGGCGAATATCTCCCTAGGCTGGTGGCAGATGGGCCACCAAAGACAGGCAGAGGGTGAGGGAGCCCTGTACCAAAGAAATAAAAGCCTCTGGGTCCTTCAAAAGCAAAACATAGGCAGAGGGCAGCTTTGAAATTAAATCAAGGAGTTTGAATTTTATTTGCTAGCTAGTAGGTATGTGCTGAGGACAACTTGGGGGCAGGGAGGCGGGGGTAGTGGTGAAGCTCAGACCCAAGCAGGATGGATGCGGATGGGACCGGGAGGGATGCTTGAAATGTGGGAGCCCAGTAGCAGGGCTTTGCACCAGACCTAGCAAAAAGAAACCTGAAAGTCCAGATTGATGGTGATGGCAGTGAGAAGGGCTGGATGAGGGAGAGACTAGACTCTAGTCAAAGGCTGGGGATGTAGCTCAGTGGCAGAATACTTCCCTAGCATGTGCAAGGCCCTGGGTTCCGTCCCCAGCACTGCCAAAAACAAAAATAAAAGATAAAAAGGAATAGGTAATATTAATCTTGCCAGATGTGATGATCCCAGCTGAGGCAGGAGGATTGAGAGTCTGAGGCCTGCCTGGGCTATGTTGCAAGACCTCGAACAAAACAAAAGCCTATGCTCTATCCAAATAAGCAATTGGTAAGCTAAGTCTTAAGGCAAAGAAAAAGGATGGCTAACGGTCAAGATCTGGTAGTCTTGATGGGATTATTAAGAGAAAAATTCTTCTATGTACTATTCTGGGTTCCTGGAACCTTTTGAAAATACCTTCTTAATCCTGGGATCTTGCATGGAGTTTTGTTTGCAAGGTCTTTTGGCCAGAACATCCCTGTGAGACCTTCCCTCCTCCTCCCCAAAGCACGTCACTCCTCTGTTTCACCTTACCTATGCTTATCCTTTCCCTCCTGCAGTGGAACAACCTCCCTCCAAAGGAAGCCTTCCTGGTGGCAGAAGTTAATGGTAACATTCTCCCTGTTCATCTCGGAGACGATGGGGTTAGGCCACATATTCCAGCCAACAGCATTTGGAAAGGAGGCACACAGCCTGCTATGAAGAACTGAGGGCCCAATGTGGCTGCAGCAAGTGTGGGGGTCAGGCAGAGATCAGCCCTGCAGGCCCTCCAAGGCCTGCCGGGAGTAGTGGGAAAAATGGAAGCTTCTAAGTGGGGGTGGGAGAGAGGGGGACTGTAACATCATCAGATTTGCAAGTTGGAAAAGGCAATTCCGGTCCCTCCCCGTGAAGGGCATGAATGGCAGCAGATTTAGGGTGGACACAGGAAGCCCCATTGGGAGGGTGTTACTGCCGACTGATGACACTGCCTGTGACCTATGTACACTTCTCTGTGCCTTTTTGTGAATGTAGATGTGCACTATAGACATCTGGACTTGGGCCAACTTGTCCTTTTGCTGTTTCATCTGACTCATCGCCTTTGTAAACAGCAGGGTTGAGGAGGGAGCTCGGTTCTCCCCTGTGCGCCAAATCCCTACGAGAGTGGAAACACAAGGGATATGTAGAAGGTGACTACTGAAAATTGCCCCAGGGTGCCACGTTTCAAACTCACCCCACAGTACCCTTTACTAACGCAATTAGATCAATAGCAGTTACTACTTTGCTCTGCCTTTGGTTTCTAAACACTTGACTGAAGGATTAGCTAGTGCCAAGAAAAATCTAGATCTCTAAGCCCTTCCTTCTCAGAGTGTGGTCCACGGACCAGAAGCATTGTTAAGAATGAAAAATCTAGTGGGAGGGGGAGGGTAAAAGATGGAAGTAAGGAGGTGAATATGGTTGATGTACTTTACATACAAGAATGAAAATAGAATATTTAAACTTGCTGAAATCACCATAAGAAGGGGACTAAGGCAGAAAGGAGAAAAGTGGAGGAGATGAATCAGTTTGGAATATAATACATATACACTTGGAAATGTCATAATGAAACTCCCTGTATAGTTATTTTTCAAAAATGAAGGACAGGAAGGTAAAACAGCTCCTGTCTGGGAGTTGGTAAGAAAGAGTGGGAGGTGAATATGGTGGAAATATTAAGTACTCACGTATGAAAATAGAAAAATGAGAGCTGTTGAAATTATTCTAAGTGGGGGGGGGTAAAGGAGAATAATGGAGGGGGTCAATCTAAAATATATTGTAAGAACTTTTGTAAATGTCACAATATATCCCCAGTACAATAACAAGCTAATAAAATTTTTTTAATTAAAAAAAAAGAGAGAATGAAAAATCTTAGCCTCACCCCCAGCCCCACTGAATCAGCTTTTGGACTTTAGCATGATTCCCAGAGTTTACCCAAAGTGGGGTCTAAGAAGCACCTGGGTTTCTAAGTAGCATCCCTCTGCACCTGTGTGGGTGATACTCGTATGTCAGATGCGGCACAGGGCACATCTTTCTGGAGTGCAAGTCTGTGCCTATGGTTTCTTTCCCAGCTAGGCCAAGGACTCCTGGATGGTGGGGGCTGAGCTTATGTCCAACTCTGGACCTTTTGTAGGTGTTCAGCACAGTGAAGGGAAGCAGAAGACCAGGGTCTCGGTCCTATACTGCCTTTAAGAGTGTAGGTATTGTACCTTCTGTGAGAACCTCCAGTCTTCCCATGGGACCCCTTCCAACGCCAACTGTTTAAAAGCTGAAGGTGGAGGCAGATTTTGGTACCTGGTCTATTTACAGGCTTCAGGTGGAGGTATGTGAAGGATGGAAGGAAGATGATGACATGAACAATTCCAAAGGGGATCACAACCAGGGGAGATCAGCAGCTTGGGCTGTCACTACCCCAACAGTTCATCCTGAGGGTAAACCAAGGCAGATGGAAATCCACCAGCCTCTGTAGCTACTTTAGGAGGTAGGGGGAGTACTGCTCCCATTTTTATAGATGACAGAGATTAAGTGACTTGCCCAAACTCCAGGAGTTCACACGCTCCTGAGCTGCAGCCATTGGAGGAAACAGTCCAGGAGGCTGAGCTTGGGGCTGCTGGAAGACCAGGGACAATCACAGACTGAATCACAGCAGGCCCACCAGACCAGTTCCCAAGGCTTTTCCAGAAGCTTCCAGCTTTGCCTAAAGTCCTTATTAACATAGAAAAGGAAGCTGATGTCATCACAGGAGAGACATGACAAGGCCCCTGTGCTCTGCAAACTTCCTCTTTTTTTTTTTTTTTTTTATGTCTAGTATAACCTTTTTCTTTCTTCTTCCCTTCACTCCATTCCTAACTCCAGTCCTAAATTTCTTCTTTTCATTTAGGGACTGAGCACTTTCT